GTTTTTACCGCGTTATCAAAACAAAGGTTTTTGTTATGATGATGGAATATAAGAGATTGTAATTGGAAATAATAAGGCATTATGATTAAAAATATTCCAATTGGTAGAGCCAATGTAGCTGGTGGAATAACTGACCCTCTTCAATGGTCAGAAAATCTGCAGCTAGCTATAAATAATGGTAGTCAGCTCACAATATTGGATCCAAAGCTCCCATTAATTCATCAAAGTATCACCAGCTCAAATTATGGCGATGGATCATCTTCATTCACTATGCTTGATCCTAAAAAGCTTTTTGATATTAGCAGTATATTAGACTCGGAAAGCATTGACAGCTTGAATTTGAGAAACTTAGATAATATTATTATTGAATCTGCTAATGAAAATTTTAGCTTCGGGAGAATCACTGAACCACTTATAACCAGTCATTATTGGTCGCCGTTAAGTCCTACATCTAAAGATTGTTATTTGGGTGTATTATTCAACACATCTGAGTTGTTGATTCTTCAAAGATCTAATCTCAGACCAAGTAACTATGCGGTAAAGATAAATGTCTTCCAAGAATTGTTATCAAAGTTACATCTACCAGAAGAAAGCTTTTCGGGTGGAGAAATAAGTATGAATTACGAACAATATTTATCTCTAAAAGTTCAAAGCTTTCGCTTCAATCAAATAACTAGTAATAACGAGGCAAGACTCTTTTTGAGCTTGGGATTGGCAAATAATAGTATTTCAATTTGTGAATTATATACTGGCTTACCTGTTCTCCTCAATATTAATATTGGTGAAGCCATTTTCAAACATTCTTGGTCCCCGTGGTATATCAAAGCGGAGAAATATCATAGCTATCTCGTTGTAACCACTTCAACAAACTCAGTGATTTTATATGAACTCACGTTCGATCTGAATTCTAATTCCATTGATAGCTCAGAACCTGTATGCTTACAGAAGAGCTCAAGATTTTTGATAAGTCAATGCGACTTTCATCAAGTAGGAAATACCATGCTTCTTATGATAACTAATACTCAAAAATTAAAAGTTTTCACGATTGATACAATGAAAAATATTCGTGAGGCTAATCATGATTTATCTACATCTTCATTGGTAACAGGGACGTTCGATGTCACAGAAAATGAGAGTATCTTGGATATAAATATTGCCTTTGAGACAGGGCAATTTGAACTAGTTCAATTTGAGTTAAAAACTGGAAAGCTCCAACCAAAGGTACCTCATAATAGCCTAACCAAATTTGTATCAAAAAACTTGCATAAGTATCAGCTTTATAATTCAAAACAACATGATGTAGAAGAATCAGAAAATAATGCAACAACACCCTTCTTGAGTAACGTGGTTGAAGGCAATTTTATCAATTATTGCACAAGATTGAATTCAAATGGACTTGTTTCTATTATTTATAGAATTTATCCTAAGAACGTATTGAACTACACAATTTTATCTAAATTCGAATTTAACATTGGTTTCATACCTATAAGAGAATTATATTCCCAGGTCGAAGGTAACAAGCTCTCATGCACGTCTTTGAGCTATTTAAATCAATTGTGGTTTAATAAATATAATGAAATTCCCAAGTTTCCAAAGTTGATTAGTGATAATAAACAAGACGAAATAAATACTTTTAATGAAAGTATTCAGAGTTTTAAGGCAAATAATTTCATTGATATAAAAGATGTCATGATTGATATTAGCAATATTGAAGATTTTAGAAAGTATTTGATGATAAATTTTATTGAAAATGCTACAATTAAAAATTTACAATATTTGTTTAATTTCAATACTATCGTATTAAAATCTTTGGGTATTTTGACATCTAGATTTCCCGATCTCGATAATTTAAGTGAAGTTAGTCGCCACATTGACCATGAGCAGAAACAAATCGAAAAAATCATAATAAAGCACCTATGCAAGTTGATAATTTCGTTTGTAAATCAAAATAATCCTCAAATAACTTCGAAACTAGATCAATTCATAGTTATTAACTATTACCTCATTATGTCAGAGACTGATACAAAATTTGAATCAAAGTTCCCAATAGATGCAGAAATTAAGCTAAGTACTAGATTTTTTGAAGAATCCTTCCGTGTTTCAATCAATGACATTATAGAAGATGATACTACGGATATGGTTACTTCCACTACTAATCATAAATGGAGTAGATGTAAATTAACATTCTTGCCAATATTGGAGTTGAAAAATAAAGTGGATGAATTAAAAATGTTCAACTATATAATCTATGAACATATGCCTGAAGAAAGCTGGATGGCAAATACGTTAATGGAAACTCTAGATTTCTGTATATACAGTGGAAATAAAAAATACGAGATTAGTTAGTTGGTGGATAGAAAAAGAACGAACCAGGAAATGGCATGAATCCTTTATCAAAAATGAAATTTCCGTCTAAAATACGACTTTGATCCTCAATACTCCAAATCAACTGGGTAGAACTCCAATTAATTAGTTGATTTGGCTTCTCTGGTGGAGGGGCTGAAATTTTAGTTACCAAGTATGCAGTGCTTGCTTCAGCAATTACATAAATAAGAAGGCCTATCCAAGGTAACTTCCTTATAATTAGGAAATAGCAAAAACTGAATCCAAGCAATAATCCCTCTCTTGATCTGATCCACTGATTTTTTTCCAATTTGTTCAAATTAATTCTGGTAAAGTATGGATATAATAAGTCTTGTATTAAGTTGCAAGATCCGCAGAAGCCTGTGATGAACTGTAAACTATAGTATTTTGGAATGATTGATAAAATAACCAGCAATATCAATGTTGAAACTGTGCCAATTTTGTCGTCAAAGTTCTGAAACGAAAGCACAATAATAATAATTTTTTCTAATTTAGAACTTTTATGGCATGCAAAATAAATTAAGAGGGTGCTTAGCATGGTTTTGATGTTTGTCTTAACAAAATTTCGAAAACGGATCGAATTGTTATACTTGTGTTTAATGCTTGTAAAAATGGATATATGAGACTCCAAATCTTCGGTATGATCAATTGACAACCGCATCAAGTTCTCATAGTACAGCTGATTTGATTTTTCGTCCATGAACAGTAGTGACATGAGGAAAATACCATCTAATCTTGGTTCAAAAAATCGTACCGATGAGATAATCACGTAATTCATATTTAGTACCGTAAGTAAATAATCAACATCAACATCTATGCTCCAATGAAATAAATAAGACAACATATATGTAGCAAGTCTGCACACGTAAGTAGGGATCCATAATATAATTTGTACAATAATCGAAATTTGGATCAACCGCAAAGCAAAACAGCAGACATCAATTTCATATATCTGTCGGTTTTGCAACGATCTATATCCACCAAGCAATGCTAACTGAATACCTCTGATTATAGCGAGTATAGACACGCTATTTGAAGGATTGGATATCAAAATTGGGGATGCCATGCTTTACGTTTACTATAGTAATCAAATACCAACTAGATCAATAAAAATACTTGATTTTGATATAGTACGGCATATAATCGAAATTTTTCACCCATTGATCTATATACATTGATAGAAGGTCAAACATAGTTGGCTAATATCTCCTTCAAGACATATGGAAGAGGGATTATGCAACTGAAACACAGTAAAGTATTCCCAGTGTTTTTAGTAATAGTAACCAATTGGGCAGAGTATGGTGCTGATCTCACAAGTTATGTTAGTGGCTAACAAAGCTAACGTCTGTGCTTTTGTTATTCACTGTTGACTGTGATCCACGGGACTTGGAGTGTTGGAGATATGTTTATCTTATCTCTAATAAACAGTTTCTAAGCTATTTTTTATGTAAGACTAATAATGTCAGCATTTTGAACAATAAATCTTAAAGGTTATTTGCAGTGATTAAAAATATCGCTAAAAGAGGTCAAAGTAAAGCTTTCGTTATTTCGAAATATAATAGATATGTGTATACGATTATTATGCTTCTGGTGTATGTATAGGACAAATTCTTCACTTATCACTTGTTACTATTGCATCTGTGTAAATATTGAGAATCTATGTAAAAATCAGTTAAAATAAAAAAGTTGCATGATAGACCAAACAAATACTTTCGTGCCTAATTAAAATCCTTTATAGCATCAGTGTGATACTAAGAAAGACATCCTAATCCCACACTGAAAGTATTTAGGAACCTAGAACTTGGTTACTACTAGTGTCTACTTGCATCACAAAAATATCTTCTGTACCTCAAAATGGCCCCAAGGAGCAAGTGGTTTACAACGTTCTAATATCTATAATACCAATATAACTCCCCGATCGTATACACGTCTATATTATTGTCAAGATTGCCACGATTACATGGTTTTTGCAATCGTTATACCCATTATACGAATATTTGATATATGCACTACCATAACCATTCAACATGGTTCACAAAATAAGGTGGCAAGATAAAGACTATGATCAATATTCTCTTGTAAAAGCAAATAAATATGTCTGCTATGGATGTCGACTACGACGTATACACCGTATTAAGTACATTGAGGCTGGAAACAGAATCAAATGAATTAATTAATATTTTTTACCAATTGGAAGACTATTTTGAAAGAAAATTATATCATCAATTAACATTAACATTAAATGAATTTTATGAAAACCCAGAATCGAAAAATAATCGATTAAGAATCAAGATTTATGATCTTTTCATCAGTCAATTTTCTCAGAAATTGAATTCGATTCAAGTTGTTGATTTCTTGTTGGCTAGTTTCGAAGATAATAAGGACGAATGCTTGAACAAGTTATTGGAATTGAAGGAAAGCTTCGTAAAGCAATTGAGAAACAGTCACACTAATAAGTCGGAAAGCATCGAGGAAACAATCAATAATGATGAATCTATAATTTACATCGATTTGCAGATAGCCCGTTACTACTTAATATTGAACAATTTGGAAAAATCAGAGGCTATTTTAGAGCATTTAAATCCCAAGTTCGAAAGCACGTTCGAAAACGAATTCAGCTCCAAGATCAATTCAGCGTTTTACCTTACTAAATGTCAATTGTACAAGATTAATGAAAACTACAACTTATTTTACTTGAATGGATTATTATATTTATCATCGATTGAAAACAAAAACTTATCGATCGAAGAACAACAAAAGCTTTGCTACGATCTCTGTATTTCTGCCCTATTGGGAGATAAGATTTATAACTTTGGTGAATTACTTTTGCATGATATTTTAAACTGCTTCAAGGACTCACAATACGATTGGTTATATAACTTGATCCATAATTTAAATTCTGGTAATTTGAAGAATTTTAATAAGTGGTTGGCAATTGGATTCCAAAAGTCTCCATTTTTGAAAACTTACGAAGTATTCTTAAAGCAAAAGGTTATTATAATGTCATTATTAGAATTGATTTCAATGAAGTCCACTACAAACAAACAATTAAACTTTAAGGAGATTTCAGAATTTACTGGTACCCCTGTTAATGATGTGGAACACTTGATTATCAAATGTTTCTCATTGAATCTTATAAAAGGATATATCAATCAAATTGACGAAGTGTTGGTGGTAACCTGGTTGCAACCAAGAATCTTGAACTTAGATCAAGTCAATGTATTGTACAATCATTTATGCAAATGGAACGGCCAAGTTGAAGAATTAGCTAAAGAAGTGCATAAAAATGGTGGTTCAATTTGGGCCGGCTTATAGTTCATCTATATAAATTACATAATAGAATAAATGAAAGAATTTGTTTATTATTTTAATCTTTCTCTATATGTTTTATTTACTATTTAAGCGATCATCATCCTTATGTTCATCATCGCTCTCTTCTCCTAATTCAAAGAGTGTATTACCAGTATCTGTAGGTTCCTCTGACTTTTTTGACTTCTTATTTGCGTCTTCCGTTTCACTATATTGTGGAGGAGGATTATCATCTCTTGATAATTCAAAACTATCATGATCACCAGGAGCTTCGTTTTCATGGTCGCTATGACTTATCAAAGATAAATCATCTAATTCAAATTCATGACCCTGATGGTATCCTTGTCCAATATCAGCTTCACCATCCTCATTATCGGCAGTCTCTTCTGTGGACAATTGTTGCGAAATTGCCAACATGTAACTAGTTTCTGTTGGTCTCCATAACCAAGCAACTCCCATGAAAACACCATAGAAGACAACACTTGGCCAGAAATCAAAAATAAAGAAGGCACCTTTCCAATGTTGCTCAATCATTTCAGTTGTGGACATACTCAAATAGATAAACGAGGATAAAATCAATCCTCCAAATGTTAAAACAACAGAGAGGAAGATAATTCTGAATAAGTTTTGGTATAGTTGTAATTTAATGATTTGACGTTGTTTGTGCAAGTTTGCTGTAGTCTTCTTAATTGATATTAATACTGCCAAATAGTATGCTGTCAAAGTTATCGTAACTGGGATCAATGGCAACAACCCAAGCAAATCACCAGATCCAGAACCATCTATAGAAGAAGATCCAGATGCTGTGGTGTACGATGATCCATTGTAGTAATTTGAAACTAAGTAGACCATTGTGGCAACAAAGTGACAACCAGCCAATATTTTACATTTCAACATGACACTCTTCTTTAATTTAAGCACAACAACACCATAACCCAATGAAATACATAATAACAAGAAAAATGAAAAAGAAATCTTAGCCGCATTCATAAACGAAAGAAAGAACATATAGAATGTCACAAATCCGGCCAGAGGATTCCTAGTTCTGTTCACTAAGTCATAATACGACCAAACAACAATGGTATCAAAAGTCAAGAATCCAAGCATGGCTAATAAATATCTTTGCAAAGGCAAAATCTGGTTCTGATTTCTTTTCTTGTAAAACTGGAATCCGTACAAGGCCAACGCGATGGCGTAGAATATAGTCAATATACCATATGCTGGCAACTTTGGAATTTCACTAGCACTCAAGTGGCCGAACGCATTCTGGAAGTTCATTGCCCCCGAATAACTCTTATCGTTCATCGAAACAGTCGAAATACAATAGTAACCAGATCTTGATACATTGTATTGAATGTTTGCCGGACCAAGATGGTTGAGTGTCGAAGTCATAATTGTCGAGTTAGGAGATGTAGATTGGATAATAAACTTACCCTTCTGTTTCTTGTCACAAATTTTTAATTCATTAATTGCATAATCGTCACAAATGTATTTATGATTCCCATCTCCAAGATCATACCCAATGTTTCCCAAGTCCTTATATTCAAAGATCACATAACTCACAGAAATGTCTTCATCCTCTTTTTGATCCTTTGAGTTTGGCTTATATTTATCTTTACCATATCCAAACAATTTTATTCCAATGCTTGGTTTAAAGCTTCCACCCCAATCATGCTTAGAGTATATACCCGAACAAACCTGAGAATTAATTTCATTAAACTTTGTAACATAACCCGAAACTAAATTAATTAACGACAAAAGAAATAACCCAGTTATCACACTGAGCTTCTTATGATATATTACCTGCATTGATGCTTGATATATCTCCTAAATGTGGCTTCTGTGGTAATAATAAATGATGATAATAAGATCAAAACTAAGAAATCCTCAGACTTTTTTACCGGGAGTCTGGTAATCGCGGCATTGCCTGGAAGTGCTATTGCAAATTTTATTGATGATGACAACTAAGCCAGATATATGGCAATTAAAGATCGCCGATAGTTTTTGGACAGAAGGAGAGATGCTGAAGATCATTAAAAATGGCTAGTTGTTATTTAAATTACAGATAATAGTAGAAAAGTTGCAATATGCATATGTAAAAAGTAGTACTAACTATGTAAGAATATTACAGAACAAGAATTGAATGGATGAATAATAAAGCAACCAAGGCGATAATTGATAGACAATTATTTCAATTCGTCTAATCTTTTAAGTAATTTCAATTCAACGTCACTCCAATTTTCCACTAGACCCTTGTAGAAGTTAATTTCCTCATTGCATAGACCAAGTAAGGATTCCTTCAACTCAACCTTGTTGAACTTATCCCAGTTTGGATATTCCTCATTGATTATCTTGTTTGTCAAGTCGAGGACCAACTGTGACTGTACGGAGATTTCGTTTTCCAATTCGGCTATTTTGTTTTGCAACTTGGTGACTTTGCTTTCAGTGACGGATGAGCCGATATTTGGGGTGGCCGACGTAGATAATGTGTCTCTGATGAGCTGAGTGGTGTTATTGACTATTCCACTGTTGTGGGCTATAATTGGGTTTGGAGGAGCGCTGTGAGACCCTCCCAAGCCCTGTAATTCGGCCTTGGCTTTGTTAAGATAATCCTGCAATACTTGAAGGTCTATTTTCTTATTATGCTGCAACTCGATGAGATTGGTCAAACTTATGATATACTTGGCGCAATCTTTCAAAGATACCAAAAATGATTCGTCTATGTATTTATGCAAGTTGGACCAATTATCCAGGAAATATGAGAGTGATGAAGCGAATACTTTGAAGTTAGTCGCAAACTGTTTCTGTTCGTTGATTTCAGAGGTGGAGGGCTCGGTCAGTTCCTCTGGAGAATTCTGGATCACTGATAGTTTCATAATTTGCTGCAGAAATTGTTCGTAATCAACACTCAAATCATGATTCTTCTTGTTCAACTTTGTAAATATCTTATCCAATTTGATTAAATTTTCATAAAGCTTTTTCAATTTATCACTGATTTCAAGAATTTCCTTGTTAGTCTCTCGTTTATGCTTTGACGGGGTCAAAAAGTTCATTATAGTTTCGGTCAAAAGCTCTTCATTAACTACTTTGTTCACCACGTTCGATGTCATTGAAGAGTTACCCTTATCTGCATCTGATTCTTGTACGCCCACTTTGCTGATCTTCAAGTTCTTTTGGAATGTCGACCAGTCCGCAGAATCACTAACAAATAAATGGAAAATGGACAGCTGAGACAAAACCTTATGACTAGTGATGAAACGCACAAACCGATCTAACGAGTGCAATCTCTTGTGAACAAACTCTGTACTGAAAGTATCACCCGTCAAATACTTAAAGTTCAGCTTAGAAGGCAACGGTGGCATCATTACTTCAGGGTGATCGTTGCTCAAGCAGTCATAGAGAAACCTGAAGTCACCATATCTTCTTCTCGCTGTGACTTCGACGGTATTTCTACCCTCCTCTTTCTTCACAGATGAAAGCTTCAACACAGACGGATGATCAGTGGTAGTTGTCAATAAATACGAAATGTACGGTTTCGACGAACTGTCTAAATCTCTTAATGGTGACGTAACAGAAACCTTAATTTCGTACGATTCACCCAGACTATCAGACGTTGGTACCTTAATACCTGGTTCACTCATAGTGTGGTCACCTTCGTTTTGAGATTCAACATTGGCTATAATTTCATCTCCAGTCTTGGATAGAATCAATGAGTCTGAAGGATCATTATTTTCATTAGCTTCTTCATCTTCCTGAGGGTTTTCGACCCTATTCTGCACGGTTGTGTCCTTATCCTTATCTTCGTTATCATTATTATGATGCTCATCATCTTCAGTAATTGTCTCCTGTTTATTCACTTTTGTCTCTTTATTAGACCCTACTTCATCTCTATCCCATTGTATAGACGTAAACTGATCGTCAGAACTCATATTTACAGTATAATTAACTAAATATGTGTTTATCAACAATGTGAGTTCTTACATCGCCACCGGTATAAGTCGGTCAGTCGACCTCATTTTTTTTATATAGCATTAATACTAACATAACAAATAAATGTAAATTTTTCTAAAACTACACGAAAAACATATAAATAGAGCTTAGAACTGAACAGAAATATACATATACTATAGAATTAACCAGACACCCGATCCTATGAGCGAAGCAGCAATAATAACAGTGATAATACTGGCACCAGCTGTATCACCTTTATCCAAATTTAATGGAGAAGTATTGGTATTTGTAACAGCATAACCACCAGAAGGATTACCCTTAGATGAACCACCATTATTAGCAGTGTATGGTGGAGGAAGATCGTGGACTCTTAAATTAGTGACGACTTCCAATGCACTCATTTGCTCACCAAGGCCGTAATATCCGTCCCAGGTTCCGTTCTGCCAATTCAACCCACAAGTATGCCAATCACTACCCCCGGTACACGAGTTCTTGGCTGCAGCGTTGGCGGAGGTAATCAACCACTCAGAAATAACTGGTTCAGTATCTGGCACCATGACAGACGTTAATCCCAAGAAACGAGAAAAGTATGCCTTGAATGAACGTTGATCCTGGTTACAGTTGTTGGAGTCCTGGCAAGCGGCTTCGTACATCACATTATCCTTGAAGAAGACTTGTGCACCACTTAACAATCTCATGGTACGATTATACCATAATTCGTCCTCGGTGTAATTGTATAAGAAAGCACATCCCGACATCATTAATCCTTGGTTATATGTCCATTGTAATTTGGTGATATCACTACAGTTACCACCAACAGTGACACCATCGTAGACATACCAGTGTTCTCCTTCAGTTAACAATCCAATACCGTACATCCAGTCCCACACTTTTTCAGCCCACTCCATGTAAGTATCGTTACTGGTGAATCTGGCCAACCTAGCCCCGAGGTTAAAAAGACAACCGTTGGAAACTGAGTTCTTGTAGTCGTAACCCGAATTCCACTGGAAAATCTGCCATCTCAATCCTCCGTGGCATTCTTTGTGGTCCCATCTCGCAGTCATTGTGTTGAACACAGCTTGCGTCAAGGCCAACCATTGCTTCTTTTCGTCATTTGGATTACTGAAATTCTTTTCAGCTGCTGCCATGACTGCAATTCCCCAGAAACCTTGATCATCGTTACCTTCTGTGGTAGATTGGTTGAGTGGAATATAATTGAGATCGTCCCCTGTCTGATACTCCAATGCCTCCTTAATCATTGGCACAAACGTGTCATTTTCCATATAGTAAGTATAATCAATGAGGGATCCCCATGCTCCACCGGCTTCCCACCAATAATATGGCCACGAGAACATACCAATGGTCCCTCCGTATTTATTACCATCATAGTAGTCGAGCAAACCTTCAGCGAATAATGCACTGACTTCCTTCAAATTAGTTACATTGTTGGTATCCAACCAAATGCCCTGGACTGTAGAAACCAACCCTATAACGGCTGATAAGACAATTGTCAATTTCATGGTATTATCGGTTGATAAAGAGGAAAGAAAAACTCAGGATCAAACGAATCAAATTTTTTTCTTAGTCCTACGCGAAATAGATTATGCTATGCTATAAATATATAGAAAAACAATTTATTAATTATACAACTACAATTATACAACTATTGCTATTGTCCGAAGGCAGGATCCAAATTCTCGCCTGTAGGCTTCGGATAGAGACCATTTTGAGCGGAATCAGAGTTAACTGTAGGGTTAATTTGTGGTTGAGGCTCGGAGGGCACGATTGGAGTCTCGCTTGGAGTATCCGTGTGATCGCGGGATTGGTCTTTTGGAAGAACATTGGAAGTAGATTGAGACATACGATCGTCTTCTTCGTCTTCGTCTTCTTCATCCTCCTCTACATCATCTTCTTCGTCTTCGTCCTCTTCTTCTTCATCAACGTGAGTAACGTGGGAGACTTGGCGAGCATCGCCGTGGACTTGGTCTGGAACCGGCTGGTCTGCTTCGTCTTCTTTGGTGGGGAGAGGGTCCTTCTTCTTAGTGGCATCTACCTCGGTGGTTTCTTCGAAATTGATGAAGTCTCTGGCAAAGTCGGAGCTGTTGCAGGTAGAAAGAAATTGCTGAATATCTGGGGGATACGAGTACTTATTTTTTATCAACTCGTCGAATATTATAAGGGCTGTGTGGTAGTTGTATCCGACATTGGATTTGGAGTCCTGTGCTGCTAGCGACTTCAAGATCGAGTGCACTAAGTCGATAAATTTCGAAGGGTAGTTGCTCGAGTTGTTGAACACCTTTTGGTTTAACTTGATGGTCAAGATGTTGGTGGAGAAATCGAATGTCATGTAGATGTTAGCGTCACATGCCGATTCCTTGTAGTACTTGTGGTACGATCTGATAGGCTTAGTGTTTTTATATTGGTACTGGTTGATAACGGGATTGAACACGGGTGGGAGAGAGTTGGTTTCTGATACATTAGACGAAACCCTGTTGAATTTGCACCCGAGAGATGCAATTATAGGGTCGAGGTAGATGATCTGGATGTTCTCTAAAATAAACTCCCGGTACAGCCTTTCACTGTTGATCGGTCTATTTTGATATACCAAGTGATCTGAAAACGTCTTGTCGGTCTCCTTGATGTAGATGTAGTTCTTTATATCCTTGTACTTGTGTGTGGTGATGGCCATCAAAAACTCATTGTAATTACCATACACGTTGTCCTGTCTGAACGGGTTCGAGTAGCACTCCAAGCAGAGTCTGTAGTTCATATTGAGTTCATCGTTATGGTCCAACTTGGTAGAACAGATCTCACAGTTAATTGGTTGCTGGGAAACTGTTTCGGGCATCGATACCTGGACCGGCATGTTACGCATGTGCTGTTGGTGGGCCCTATGGGCTTGTTGTTGTTGAACCTGGTGTTGCTGCTGTACCTGTTGCTGTTGCACCTGGTGCTGTACCTGGTGGAGCGGTGCCACCGGCACCTGCGACACCGTAGGCATTGCAACGTGCGATGTCTGTTGGGGCTGGAACTGGTAGAACTGCTGTTGGTGTTGCAGCTGCTGTTGCAGCGGATTCACCACCCCGTCGCCCTCGTACCGTCTGGCACTATTACGCACACCTCCACTGAACACATCATCGTCCATGAATATATCATCGTGAATAAAATTGGCATTCTGGTTCTGCTGCTGGAACTGCTTCATCCCATAGATCATCGTTTCCTCCGCCAATGGCTTTCTCAGCTTCTTTTTCTGTCTTTCAATGATCCGACACTTAGCACACGTCTTATACTGACGTACTTCCGGTGGTTCATCATCAAGTCTCTTTCTCTTGCATCTACGACACCTTCTAACGTCACTCATACTATGCGCGATTCACTTATTTAGTACCTCTTCGACTATTTATGTCCCAAGTTTTTTTCCACTCGTAACTTCCCAAGTGGTCGCTGTTTTGATTCGTACGGTCGGTGCTTGTTTCTGCTCCTTACCGATATATCTATATGTATATGCCTTCAATTACAATCAATGATGGCGTTTTGCTATGGTAGTATATGTTTTGCTTACAATCCACTAGTTTCCGGTCGATGAAAAACCTTAGCTCTTGCTTATATAAGCAGCAAAATCCATCATGGGTTTTTAGGCCATTTTTGGGGTGTTTGAAGGGCCATCACGTGTGGAAATGGGTAGCCACTGGGATGGGGATGAAGCATAGAGTATAAGACGTGGAGTAGAGTGTGTAGACGGGAGGCTAGCGGCGTGGTTAGCTGGGCACGGCGTGGAGAATGGTTTGGGACATCGATTGCAAAAGAGCGAGGGTGGCTCCAGCAGGCCTGGAGATGCTGGGTCCCACGGACCCAGCACGACTGGTCCCACTGCCAATAGAGCCGTGCTGACGGCTATGGACATCTACCCACAGGCGTCGTCAGATATCGGGAGAAGGTAAAGTAGGGCCAGAACGGCCCAGGGATATGGGCGTGCGTTTACCGGTGTGTTACTCCCCCGGTGTATATGGGTACGAATGGGGTGGTAAGGGTCTGATATTAGTATGGTCAGATAGCCAGAGACTCCAACTGGTGGCTCAGCTATCAATTGAGGTGGCTAGACGACAAGAAAGCTGTTGTAGCCTGGGTCAAAGCGGTGGATGGTGGAAGATGACACAAAGCCACGAGGCTCAGACGATCTTGCTCTGAAATGCTCCTGGGACATAAAGGGGACCATATATGGGACATAAATCGATAAAACGCCATTCAACAAGGTAAATACATCGATTATACACGGAGAACGCACCACATCATGTCGAAGTCATTTGTTCGTTCTATTAAAAATGTCACTAGTGGATATTCGTCGGGGCAGGTGCTCGTTAGAAATGCTACGTCCAACGACCCATCAGGGCCGACCACTTTTGATATGGAAGAAATAGCATCCCGGACGTACCAATCTCAAACAGACTTTTTAGAGATAATGGACATGATTGACCGTCGTCTTAACGATAAGGGAAAAAACTGGAGACATGTGGCCAAATCTTTGACGGTATTGGACTACTTGGTGAGATACGGGTCTGAAAAATGTGTGCTCTGGTCGAAGGATAATTTGTACATTATTAAGACGTTACGGGAGTTCATACACTTTGACGAGGCGGAAAATGACCAGGGGGCGGTGATCCGGGTGAAGGCCAAGGAATTGGTTTCGTTGTTGAGGGACGATGAGAGATTGCAGCACGAAAGAGAGTTGGCAGCGAGGGCACAGAATGGATATGGAAATCGCTCGGGTCGTGATAGAAGAAACCGTAGGGGATCAAGAAGAAATACTGTGAACAGCAATAACAGCAGGCCTGCAACAGCGGATGATGACGAAGAATTGCAAAAGGCGTTGGAAATTTCGAGGGTCACGGCCGAAGAAGAGGCCAGACGCAAGAACCAAAACCCTAATGACGACGATTTGCAAGCTGCATTGAAGTTGTCGATGGAGGAGGAAGAAATGAGAAAGTTGAAGCGCCAGCAAAATGAAAACTTACTTGATTTGGACGACCAACAAGCCCAACCTCAGTATTACATGGCCACAGGCTATGTTCAACAACCTCAGTACTATGTTGCTCCACAGCAAACTCAACCACAACAGCAGTATGATATGTTTGGCAATCCAATACAGAATGCCATGAACACAGGCTTGTACCAGCAACAATACTACCAACAACAGGATCCTATGCAACAACAACAACCTCTGTTTACTGGATTCAATGCTCCCCAACCCCAGCAACAACCTCAAGAATTGCAGCCTTTGAAGACGGGCTCGAATAACCCATTCGCATTACAAAGTGAATCTGCTCAACAGCAACCAGCTTCCCAGTCTTTGAATGATATAGCTTCTCAACAACAACAAGACCTCTATCAACAGCAACTTCAACAACAGCAGCAACAACAACAACCCCAATTTTTCACCCAGCCAACTTCGCAGCTCAAGCCGCAAAATACCTCATCGTCCAAATTTAATGACTCCACTCATGGTGAGTTGAACAATTTATTGGCCCAAGGCACTGGTATCGATACATTTGGTAATACCGGTGCTACAAGAATCCCTCATCAACATACAAAAACTCAACAATTTATAAATTCAAGTGGTACTGGTTACAAACAAAACTATGATGAAGCCAAGTTGAGTTCGAATGCCACTGGTAATCCGTTCTTAAATACTGGCATTGGGTACCAACAGCAAAGTCAAATTAACCCTGCCTATACTGGCTATGGATTCGGAAATGCCAATGCGCAACAGCAACAGAGGCGTAACGATGGTCCAAGTTTAATTGACATTTGAAGTGTTTTCACTAGGTAGCAAAATGCTATTCATGATCGTAATATTATAAATTTAAGAGGTATGTTTATATAAAACTTTATCTATTTACTTTGGTTTGTTCAATTCAATAAATTCTTTTTAGCTGATCTTATAAGTGTAGACCGAGTTAATCGATTTATATGTTAAGCCATTTTAACCTATATCAAAGTTGGTATGAGTCGAAATCTTCAAGTTTCATCTTGAAAATAGATTTGACACACCAATCCCATTCAACAATTACTCCATTTTGTACGTTCTTCTTGAAGCTTGCGATCAACTTGGCATCTTTCGATTTGTGAGCTACCATGATTATCTTGCCATCATCATTCGTAAGTAAAGTTTTTGTATTCGCTGCAGTTAAAGACTTAATGCTCTTGGCCCCTGAAAGCCCATGACTTTCTAGAATTTCTGATATGACTTGTATTCCTCCAACTAAATTATTGGACAAGTTGATCTTCAAGTCCTGAAAGATTATGCCTCTGTTAGTGGTATTCAATAGATTGGCCAACCCGTTTTCTTTGGCATTGGTAACACCAAGCTCCTGGTTAATAGTCTTCACAGATATGACTTTGTCTAGCGAATAATCACTAATTGAAAACTCTTTGGATAATTGTTCTTCATCAATCTCCTGCGATGAATTCAACTTTTTCAATATATCCATTAAATAATTTGGGTGAATAATCTTATCCACTTGACTAAGAGAACGCAAAAATTTAGCTGTTCGTAATATTCGAGGTGCAATGAGAGTGTTGATTCCTTGTTTTGTCGAGTAATCCGATAAAACTTTGATTCCAATATGATTTAAATGCTGAGTATCTTGACGTGTCAATGTGATTTCGTTTTCGCAACCAGTAATTATTGCCACAATTTTATTGCTACTATCTGGCCTTGGTGATTCAAGTTTACGCTTCTTGGACTTCACTGGTGTATCAATAGTATCAGTGTCTTTGTTTACACTATCAGCTTTTCTCTTGGCGGAGGTACTTTTTTCTAGTTCTTCCATATATGATTTCATCTTCCTAGAACTTTTTGACATCTGCTGATAATCGTTAAGGTCATTCATATCCAAGTGTAACTTATTAACTGCCTTCTGTTTAGCAGATCTTCCACTTCTTCCTATTATAGGGGTTTCAGGAAGAGCCTTATCGTCAACTTCTTTACCTATCTCAGAAGGTAAGGCTGACGCTTTTACTTTTGCATTGGCAGACTTGATTGATTCATCCTCTTTTGCTTTAATATGTTGTTGTTTACTTCTTCTTCTTCTTCTTCTTCTTCTTCTTCTTCTTTCTCTTCTATATTTTCGTCCGTTATACTATCATTAGTCAGAGGTGACTTGTTAGTGGTATTGGTCTTCGTATTTAGACGATTTTTTGGTTGCGTTGATTCATCCTCACTCATACTATCAGCCACATTTTCCTTCTCGCTTGCCATGTTATCTAGATTATACCAGTTCTCAAGCACATTCTGGTTTAACTTGGTTTTGCATAATAACTTCTCTACACCATTTGCATTGTTTCCTAAAAATTGGAACTGTGGTCTTTCATACTCGATTAATTTCCAATTAGCAAAACACTCTTCTAGCCAAAGGTGATTAACAATCTTAATATTATTGCCATCTTCTGATTTCCATTTCACGTTAGCTGCTTCATATTTTTTACCTTCAGGTTTTGCAGCAACTAAGAAATCGTTATCACGAGTTAATGTTTTAGTAAAAGTGCCACCCAATATGGTGATCAACTTCGATAAGTAAAATCTTGCGTCGCCACTATAGTTGGTAACCGAAATTTTTAACTTTTGAAACTCTGGTATTGGAGTAGGAGGTATTGGATAATGAAGCAAGTTCGAATTTATAGGGAGCTTCCATTTGTTAGTCACTATTATTGAATAAAGCCATTGTAAATTACCAACTATTATACGATTTGATTTGCAACTCGAAATGTAGGGTTCGCCTGCTCTATATTGTCCAATATAGATATCAACCACTTTGGGGTTGAATTGCGTCGTTACTTTACCACCATGTTTCTTGATTAACGCGCCTATAGCATTCGTTAATCTGTCAGATATGTTGTAGTCTGGGCTAATATAGAATAGCTTATTATCCAAGAAGCTTGACTTACTTGAATTGATAGGTAAAATATCATCATCCGTAATTACAGGCGAATCGATAGCTCCCAGTGTTCGATTCAACAAGGAAGGTGATGGCAACATGTAAGGCTCTTCATCTAATTTTTTCCCCATTTTCAAGCAATCGTCTATCCAATGGGGCAAAACAATCTTAATATCTATTTTATCACCGTTATCTTGAGTTGTATTGATTGCACTCGTGGCAATCACACTCTTGTCGTTATTCATATCCATTGCAATCAAATGCGTAGTATATCTCGTCAAATCATCCAAATATTGGCCACCAAAGGCTCTCACTCCCCCATAAATAGCTTCCTTATCTCCCACCGGTAAATTATCAGCAACACATACAAATGTGTCCTTTAAGAACAATTTAGGATCAGGACTGTAAACCTTAGGATTCGAAATCTTAGCTCGGCTTACAGAGTCAAATACCCATTCAGGGGTCGTTATAGGAATCATGGATATCTGAGCTAAATTGTATTCAATAAACTCGACTGTTTTACATATAATATGATCTATAGGTGTGTTTGATACAGCTTCGGTTCCCAAATAATTAACCTCATTGTCGTGTTCTTCCTTTATGAAAACCTTAGCATTATTCTGTTCAAGCATCGACACAGTATCATTCACTTCTTCTTCAGTGAATTCTTCTGAAACAACCACCAAGAACGCTGATCCTTGGAACATTTTTTGATTATTCTTTACGTTTCTACCAGGAAGCTTTATCTTCAATTTGACCTTTATTTCTGTTGATCGTTTCAAAAACAACGCGCTACTCGAAAAATGACTTAATAAGCGTACGGTTATATTAACTTATATATCCTAAACAATATATAATGATTGCAAATGAATAATGACATAAGAGACAAGAAATAAACAACGTAACATAGGAGATATTCCTGAAAAAAAAAAATAGGTAGTATCAACAAATAGCGAAAACCAATCTAATGTGCAATGTGAAATAATTATGATATTATTAGTAGATCCTAAGGATAAAGAGAGGTACTTGTTCTTTAACTATCAGCCTTATTAATAAATAAATCATTAGCAAATATATCTTTATTCTCAGACACGATTTTTTTAGCCCAGCTTCGACATAATATACTGGCCTTCATGAATTTTCTAGTAGCGTATTTTTTGAAGAATTCATCGTGCTCGACTGGTGCTATGAGGTATTGGACGAGTAATTCGATGCAATCCTTCATATCGCTGACCCTATAGCCACCAGAATAATGGATCAAGTTTCCATTCCATACCGGAGACTTGCCTAGGATCAACCGTGCGATGTACATGGCCGAGGCAGAACATAACGATGGTAACATGCCAATAAACTTGTAGTCAATTATGGTGATCTCTAGTAAGTATTTACCTAATGTTCTTGATTGGACATCGTAGTCATCCGCTTTTGAGATTCTTCTTAAAAAATTCATGGGGTTAGGGTAGTTAAGGTCGAAGTTCAAGATGGTTAAGATATATTTTTCGGCTTGTAAGATTTCGTCTTCAGTGTATGAGCCATCGGTAAAATATGCATAGTTTTTAACAGAGGGAGAAAACACCTCCTCGTATTTAGCAGCGATGAATAAGGATCCTGTAGCCAAAAGTTGTAATTTGTCGATTTGGACGATTTCGAGCGACATGAAGCGATCCATGATATTTATAGCCAAGAATAAGGTTTCGGGCAACAAGCGGAATCGAGTGTGCATTTCAACAAGCCAGTCAACTAGAATGGATCTCATTTTAGGTTTTAAATGCTTTTGTTTAAATAAGTATTGTGAGTCAGGTAATGTTTTGTGTTCTAACTCACTCAAGTAGGGAAAGATATCATTGACATACTCACTTACCATTAAGGGGTCGTCAATGTCTTCTTCGTCCAAGTCCTGCCATTCGTAGTCGATGATTCTCGACTTTTTATATGAGACGTTGTTACTGTGATGGCTAGAGATGTGCAATTTTTCGACCAAATTGGTAGACGACTCGGTCGCCTGTCTTTTCTGTGGCAATCTGGCGGGCACCGCGAGGTTCTGGGTCGACGAGTTCGAAGATGATGCAGTTGTGTGATTATTAGAAGTGATATTACCGTTAGTGTTGTCATTAATAGTCGCGGAAGTCGTTGTGATGGTATCTTTTGGTTGTGATGCAAGTAAATGATTAGTGTTCGTGCTCGAATTGTTTGGCTTCAACATAATCCTCTGGTGCTGCTGCAACGGAGCATTATCTCCCCCAAGTGGCCGTCTTTTCGACCCCATATTCGCGTTGGGCTTAACACCACTCGACCCATACTGGTTCGAGACGTCGCCCAAGTAGCTTCGCGTGCCCCCCAACACCTCGTCCGACGAGTGCTGTGACAAGCTATACAACCCTTCTTTTGTTTCTCCGTTTCCATCTCCCATCATTACCTCTCCTCGTCCTCCTTTCTGGCTCTGTGCCTCCGTCTGTGTTTGTGCGTGTGTCTTTGGGCCCCCTTCGTTCCCTCGCAACCCCTGGCTCTGCATTGCTTTAGACCGGGTCAACCTGTATTCATTCTCGTTGTTAACGGTTTGTGGCATTCTACTGTCAAATACCTCTTTTTCTATGTTTTTCTTGGTTAAATCAACCTTAACGTAAATTCTTCCAATATTATTTGGGATGAATGCAATTAGTCTTTATAGACAGAATCTGGCTTAACTTTCGTGATTTAAATAAAACAACTGGTTTAGAAATACACTAGCAATATTATAAACAACTTTTATCGGGATATATTAGTTTATTGGCAATATAATACCTGTTTCACCATCCTCTTGTGTTAGGAAAAAACCTGTGATGAATTCAACTCAAATTAGGAACCGCGTAAATAAAGAACAATGTGACACAAAAATGTTTGGGTTACTATTCGGGATTATATGTAAACATTCACTAGATGAAGAAAGCAAGAGATCAATAGAACATGTACACAATAGGCCTATGTTGCAGAAGATGTGGCCTTGATATTAGATGTGTGATGGGGGAACACTTTGGCATAAAAATATAGTGGATTGAGAAATAATTAGGGGAGATACAGGGGTATATACGCGAAAGCCCTAGAATTTTGCAATCTGATGCTCAGGCGAAGCAATGAGCGTAGGAGGTATAGGTGTAGTATGGCAGACTTCATGGATATTCGAGTATAGTAATTGAGGTGGGTACCTTGGGTCGGGCTGAGAAAAATGGGTCACGGTAAAGTAATTGAAAATGAAAGGGTTAGGATGAAAAACGAGAGGGCCAGGTATTTGGGCTCATTACATTATATTGCGTGAATATAGATACGTAGATGCAGTATATACTATCTAGATTGTAGACACTATCGATAGGGTACATGGAAAAGAGGACTATATTGTCCACTTGTATTCACCCATGAGGTTTATGGTCTTGTTGTCTTTGGAGTCAGAAAAGTCGGCCATGTGGTTTGGGACAGAATCGCGGACTTGGGGGTTGGACGTGGAGTCAGACGCAGAGTTTCCAGCTGAATGGGTGGCTGAATGGGTAGCGGAATTGCCAGCAGAACCAGAGGCTTCGGAAGATGCGGCCGAACATCGCTTGCACGGTCTTTTGGCGTGGAATTTGTGGTTCTGTGGGCAGCAGACATAGCATTGGAATACAATGTCCTTTTCGCGTTCCCTGGGGTCGATGTGGTGGTCTTCCTCCAATTTCGGGGATACAATTGGCTCATTAATATGGACCTGTTGCTCCTTGGTGTTTGAATTGAATACTTCGAGTAGCTTGTTGTACATCTGGTTGTTTTTGTCGATTGAAGTCAAAATTTTCTCCAAAACGGGGTCGTTTGGATTGGCTTGGTCTTTCTCCGACTCTTTTTCCATCGGCTCGTTAGGGGGGGTTTCTTTTGGTAGCGATTGCCTTTCTATATACTGTTTTTCCAAGGGCTTGCTCTCGATTGATTCGTTCTTCATCGCCCGGACTAGATCTTCAAAAATAGCAAGCATGCGCAAACTTGGCTGCGAATATGAATCTTGTATCTCGTTCGACTCTGCCACTTGGTGAGGTGGCTGCTTTGGGACATCCATTGGTTGTACTTCTGGCTGTAGTGGTTCGTCCTTAACGTCGTTAATAATATCTGATAATTGATTCTGTAGTTCTATAAGCCGGTGTTTATAAGCATCTTGCAGCAAAGCGACACTTGCAATGGGTGTTGCCATTGCAGAAGGTATATCAACAGATTTTGCTTGACTCGTAGGTCTGGCTTCCAGCACCGGTGTTTGTTGTCTTGCCGATTCATTCCCGCCGGATAGCTTCGACTTCAACTCCTGGTTCTCCCTCTCTGATTCGGTGTACAAATTTCTATATTTTATGAGCTTAGTTCTCAAAAGATCGTTCTCACGCGTGTCGTTCTGGGGTGTAACAGATCTTCTCTTGGCCTGATTAAGCTCCTTTTTCAAGTCACTGTTTTCTCGTTGATAAAGCCCCATTTTCATCTCAAGGTTAGAAAGTTGAATTCGGTTGGATTTAGCGTCGCTATCCTTCTTGTCAACGTCTCGTTTCATAGTTTCAACCTGTTTGATCAACTTATTTATGGAAGTCGTGAGCATTTTCTGATACGCTTCGCCCTCTTTACTACTTGTTATCGAAGCAGGAACCGTGCTTATTAGCTTGTGTGTCTCTTTGATAAGTAATTCCGTCTTATCTTTCCCGTGGTCATCCTGTAACTTCGGAAGTTTGAGCGAAGACATATCCAATATCCTCTGTATTTCCTTGTCCATTGTGCTATCTGATCCACTTAGGCTATCAATATTCAACCCCGACATTCCTTTTATATCATCAAAATCGTTATATTCACTTAAATCGTAGTTATTGCGTTTCAATGGGCTCCCAGTGTTACTGGTTCCTCTCATCCTGTGCAAATGATCCTGGTAGTCGTTTCGTACTTTCTTACTGGGGGACAAACTGTTACTTCTACCCATATCAAATCTCTTAAATGGAGAAGATCCTTTGGCATTCTTTACAGCTGATCGACCTAATTCTATGCTTGGTGAATTAAATATCGACTCTTCATCTGAGTAAATCGTAATGTCATCATTTTTACCGTCTTTCGTCTTATATCTATTCAATAGATCATGCGTCGAGTCCAATTCAAGACTCTCCATATTAGCGTATTTTCACCTATTAATTACAAGATTCTATGGCTTAAGTCGCTTTTGTATTTATCTACTTCTATTTGTAAACAAAACATTCTACGCGTAGAGGAGACTGAAAAAAAAATTGTGTATTTTTGTGTGCAGAATATGGGGATTACTCTTCAACATCAATATGGATTAAATAGTCTAATGATTTCGTCACAGCCGCAATATGCCATGGTATTAGACCGGATGCAGTGTAGTTCAATGGTGGGATCATATGGGAGGTTGTATTTGAATCCTTTTCGTCACTATCGTCCGCAATACTACCATCGATCTCATTAACACAAAGGATATCATTCAAGGTGATCAACTTCTTGTACTGATTCAACAAGATCTTCATTATTGCATTTAGGTTCCAGTAATTTGAACAGCTTAGTAAATTGACCTCGTAGACTAAATACTGCTTAGTGTGTTCGTCGGTGGGAAGTCCTGTATCTTTTATCAAGTAGCCTATCTTCATTCCTAAGCGAGTAGGAGAGTTAAATGATGGTAATGGTGACTTTGGGATCACCGCAGTTAGTTCTTCTGTAGGGTCGTGGATAATCTCATCGGGGTTATCCTGAGATGTATTCGAAGCAGGGTTGGCGTTGGTATTAGTAGTTCCTCCAGTAGATGTAACAAAGTCTTGAGGCGATAGGAAATTTCCTGGTGCATTGAGAAACTGCTGGGGCGAATGAAAATTGATACCCACATTATTTGAAGGTGATATGGACATGGAGGCTCCGTTATTATTCGGGGAGGGGTTGTTTGAACCAAAAGTTTTGAAAAAATCGGATGCATTCGACGTGGTCCCATTATTACCAACTTGATTAGTAGAATTTCCAGTCGAATTATTATCCAAATTAGTTGATAAAACATTGCTGTTGATATTGGCGTTTGATCCATAATTCGACTTATCCACTTGCTCGCCTGCTCCAATTGGACCACTAAATAGTAACTTAGGTGCCTTGTTAACAGACAAGACAATCAAAGATATATCTTTGTGTTTAATGCTGAGTCTTTTCCAATGTATCAATTCATCATCAGGAATGATGCTATTTATCCTTGTTAAAACTAAAAATTTCTTTCCACCCAATCCAGAAGTCCTTTTGATGACTTCATCATTTAACTTCTTAAATAATGCTGTAGAAATATTCCAAATTTCGTCACTGATTGACTCTAGGCTATGAACATTCTTATTGTTTGATTTCTGGAGAACTGGGGAGCAGTTCCATGATTTAGTCAATACAACAATTCCTAAGGGATCAGACCAAGCAGCTGAAAACCAATTCTTATCGATGGATCTTTCGTATGCCAAATGAAGAAAAATATCATCGTTAAACGACGTTTTTCCATTACTATTGCTTCCATTGTTCATGAACTTAAAATTAAGGTTCGAAGGTGGTTCCTTGACTAATTGTGTGAATAAATGTTTGGTTGGATCTTTTACTGGCTTTCCAATATTCCGTTCATTTGGACATTGGTTGTATAAGTTCATTGATAACTTAGATAATTTGAAATTTGATAAGTATTTTAATCTTCTTTGATTACCACTTTGCTTAATAAGAAGTGACCAAGGAATGATGTGGGCAAAGACCTCTACTAGCGGTAACTGATGATGGCTTAAAAACAATTTGAAATTTCTAATTAGCTTTGAAATTTGTAATAAGGAATTAACACTTTTGTCAAAATTAATGAAAAGCAATAATAACGGTCTATCGAACTCAAATTTATTTGTTTTGTTAATCAAATCAGACTTTATCATTTCAACTAGTGCATTCAACTTGCGGTTAATTTGTTTGTAGATATTACCATAAGCATAATCCCCTTCTTCTTTGTGAACCAATAACAAACCATTATCAATACCTTCGACATCAGGTCTCGAGTCTGAGGGTTGTAGATTAATTTTCGATATAGTACCAAAACAGCATTCCTTATAGTTATAAACTAAAGAATTTAAGAATTCAATATTATAATTATGATGAAGCATATTATGATCATTCTCGGAAATCAATAATAATTGAAAGTTCTTAGGACCATTTAAAGGACTAAAATTTAAATACTTCCAAAATTTAATACCTATCGAATTCAAATTTAATATTGTATCATTATGCTTCAAAACTCTTGCCTTATCATTAGCCAACGAGAAAATAGTGCTGTCTTCAAGTGTATTTACCAATGAACTCTGACCCACATTATGAACAATTTCTTGATATTTTTTCCAATTCTCCTCATTGGCAGAGCTCTCAGGATAAATTGCATCCCATTCAATAGAATTTAGTTTCTTTAACTGTGTCCTAGGGTTTAGAATGTCCTCATTTGTAATATCATCAAGGAAACTTAGTTGGTTATCGAGTTCATCCTGGATTGTATTGGTTTCCCCCTTAAGTTCATTAACGTTAGGCTCTATAGTGAATTCGTTAAGATTCACCTTGTAGCAAAATGGGAAAATATCACAAAGTTTATTTTCAAATTTCCTAGAAGGCGCCTTACCTTCGATATTATCGTGATTTTCCTCGTCTCTTTCATGATTAGATAACTTCATCTCCAAAGACTTTTGATGTTTATTCAATCCCATATCAAATATTAGATTTGGGCCTAACCACTTCAAAAATTCGTCTAAATTATTAAGTTTCACAGTCATTTCACTATTTTTGCATAATTCATAATCAGACCATTCATTTTCATCTTCCACATCCATATCAAAATTTGTAGATATTGTTGAGATTTTATTAGAAACAAAGACATTATTCAAAATGAAGCAAGTAGGAATACTTGAAACATTGATGCCTCTTAAAATTAAGGGTAAACAATTCGATGACTCTGATATTGAGCCTCTAGAATTTGGTGTCGTCACACCACTTGGTGTATTTTCTGCTTCTTTGCTGGCCGACTTCTTTTCAAGATCCATATCAACAACCATAGGTGAGTTGTCCGATTGCTCTTGTCTTTGATTTGGTTGCTCACTACTGCCTCCTGTAGGAGATGTAGTTCCATTCTGGTCCTCCCTTACAAGATTGTTCAATCCAAATGGCGAATCATTCTTTGGGGGCACATTGGTTTTTGAAGAGTTAATTCCAAATGAAGTAGGCGAAGAGAAACCACCTGTATTCATGGAGCTTACATTATACGAATTAGCAATCACTTGCTTAGCGTTGAAGTTTGATTCATTGAAATTTAGGCCAGCTTGATTCAGCTGGGCAACATAAGGGTCGTTAAGTGTGTTTAGTTTCAATGGTGGAGAACGTTTCATATTCATATCATTATTCTCTATATTCATATCATCATCCTCGTCACTTTCCTCGTCTTCATCTTCATTTTCATCTTCATCTTCGTCCTCATCTTCATCGAATTCTTCCAAATTCTTTATTATATTATCCTTTTCATTGAAGTGATTTTCGTGGTTTTCATTCTTCATTCCTTCGTTACCTTGTGCTTCTGGAAACTCAGAAACCTGTCTTCTATCATTGTCTTCTATAATAGACTCAATTCCAATAGAATCTTCTCTACGCTGTGGCAATTCAAACCCACTTACACTTGTAGCCCTTAAAGTCTTTCTTTTCGAATCGATATCGGGACCAGCCGATACTTCCTTATCAACATAAAACTTACCACCTTTACCATATTTCGTATCAATATTACTTTTAATTATTGGATTGAATAATATGGGAGAAAATATTGACCTTGCACCTTCATTTCCCTCATTGTCCGTTGCAGCGGCGGAAGTCGGCGGATTCACAGACTGAGCAGACCCAGGTGCTGTATAATTAGCCCCAGTCTGGGGAAATACTGGAGTTGGCACAATTGGCATTGGAGCACCTGGATCATTATAAATTTGAGGTGTTTGTTTTAAGTTCTTTAAAGATGGGATCGTCATCTGATCTTTAGGAATGTCTATAAATGTGTTTGGTATTGTAGCAGAAGCAAGCTGTAACTTGGAATCTTTATATTCTTTCAAGTCTTCCAATTTAACGCTTTCTTCCTTTAAAACGTCATCTTCTATTGATTTAGGTATTGTATCCAGTTCATCGATTTGTTTCTCTTGGTTCAGGTGGTTCAGATCATCATTAAATAAGTCGTCAAACTGTTTTCCTTCGTTTAATTCATTTGCTGACACTTCTGTGGTCGCCTTTTCATCTTCACTTGCATCACCAAACAAGTCGTCCATTTCCACATCTTCTTCATCGCTATTCTTTTTTACTGGTTCTTGTGTGTCTGATTTTACATCATTTTGACTCTGTGATGCTTGAAAGTTGGCTCCGTTGAAAAAATCATTGGTATCAGAACTCTGAATTCCAAATATATCCAGTACACTTCCGGGTATGTCACCAACTATATTTAAGTCGCCTTTGTTTTCATTTGGCCCAGAAGAACTCATCCCTGTTGATAATACACTTGGAATACTGTAATTAAAACTCTGATTGTGTTGGTGACTTGGATTTAGTTGACCAGAAATGTTAGTCTGATGATAATGACTGATGTTAAAGTCAATGAAATCGGAAATTAAATTTAATGGGTCACAAGTAGTGGCGTGAGAACTTAGAGTGTCCGTTTCATTAAGACCGAACTGTAGTAAACAGAGTCTCCAAGGCCATAGTATGAATTTTTTGTTATCCACTGAATGGATGAATTTAGAAATCTTTGACGTTTGATTATTCAAATGTTGTAAATTAGGAACCAACTTCACCCAAACCAAGGGACTCAACAGGTCTAGATCAACACCCGTACTGTACTTAATCAATTTTATGAGAATTTCACTATTCTTAGGAGGATCTGCGGTAAAATTCGATGCAACATTTACGTTATCGTATAGATGGCATCTTATTCCAGATGGAATTATGTATAGAACAAAGTTTAAATCAACAGATTCGATTTCATTAATATCCACAATACTGGAGTCAAATAGTTGTAGATGACACTTTTCAGATACAGAAATCAATAAGTCCCCGTTTGGTAGTAATATTGGATCAAGATGGAGAACGGAGTTTGAGAGCCCTTGCTCTTTCACTACTGCGTAGTTTCCGAATAGCTGGACTGCTTCATTACTTGACAAATTGAACAAAACCAATTTTTTAACCGCCTTCAAAAAACTCAAGCATGCATATGCTAAATATTCGTTTCCTGAATTATTATCTTTATCACTGGCCACTTTGGGAGGGTTCGATAGCATATCGGCGCTTACCTGGTTAGAATACTTCAATTGTAGCTGGGGATATTCAGTTGTTAGATCGAATTGTTCATTAATATGATTGAATTGAAAGCAATATAAGTATTTGTTGTAGTATGTCACTAAACATTTAGGGTGGGAATGTCTTATTAAAAGTTCCAACTCTAGTAATGTCAGATCGTTCGTTGCATTATTTGTGGTGTAGATTAAATAAGTCACCGAGCAAAGATGAGCCAATTTATAATAATTGGTAGCTATACTTGAAGCATCTATTGCTTCGGGCATCTTTGAAGATATCTATGCTTTTTGTACTTTTACCATGTAGACAAAAGTATGCTGAAAAACTCTGAACTGAACCTCTCTGATATCGGTATATATTTGGTGTGTATATAAGAAAGCCTACTACGTAAGGACTACAGGACTAAGACTACTAGTATACGTATATTAACTCATAACTTTTCATATTTGACCTTATTTGCCAAGACATTGTTCCTAAAGTCAGGGACCCCCAAGGAACTTGTATGGCCCCAAGGTTTTTTAGAATTTTCATTATCAATGGCATCCGCAAAGCAGTTCAACCAACCTTGTCTTGGGTACTTTTTGTTAACAGCAGCAAGAGTATCGGGATGAATAAGTTCTGTGTTCAAGCCTACATTATCTAAGATGGTTGAAATTTGTAATATCAAGCCTAAAGTGGTGATAAAACCAGACTCACCTAAATCTTGATGACGTATTACGGCCTCGGCCACAGCTTCCGCATAATCCTGGTCACCATTGGTGTGCTCTAAGATAAGATCTCTCGATATAAGCCCGCCGTAGAACTCAAACGACATCTTAGTAGCCTTCATGTTCTTTTCAGTTGTACCAATATCGTGGAGCAAGCATGTAACGAACAAAACCTCCCGGTCTAGTGCCCATTTGTCAAAATGGTCATTAATAATGGCAATACTGTATTGGTAAACTCTTAACGAGTGCAATAACACCTTTTCTGGTAGCTCTTTGGTGGCATAATCCAACACGAACTTGCCCAATGGGGAATCTGGCAATTCTACCACCGACTGAGCAGTAGGCTCGTTGATTTTGCCAACTGCTGCTTTTATGTCCCGAGCAATTTTCACGAATCCGTATTTTGACATTCTAGATCAGTATAAACTCTTGTAAGTGATTTAACTGAACTGATCAAGCATTAGTGTCCCTTATATACAATTATCACTTGTGATGACTAATTCCGTTGGAGTCTCGGTTCCAATCCGAACTATTGCTAATTGCGGAGTTAGCACATATTAACATGTGTACCCATCAACGCATTATGTATCGTTTCACCGTACCTATACATACAGGGGCATTTCAGAACCGAGATCATTCTAAGGAACGACATCCCTACTGAGTTCAAAACTAAAGGTCTATGAACTATTCCATGGAACCATTCCATGAAACCTTTTCACAAGCTACCTGAACCATATTTTATAACTATATATATAGAATAGTAATTGTAGAAGAGGAATGTTTCGATACATAATCACGTAGTTATTAAGGCACCATTGACCTTTATACGACCATTTTAGGTATATGGGTGCTAAATATTTCAGTACTAATTGCTGTATATGTGTATTTACACAAAATGCGATAGTTGAAACTGATAAACACTCACTATATTTTGTAAATAGTGACACCATCGAACACTGTCAAGATGTCAGAGATAGAGCAAGAACGTGTGTATGGATATCTAGAAGTACAAGTGGAAGTTACTAACAAAAAAAGCGATTTTAAAGGCATCAGATTTGCCACAAGAGATGCAAACTAGGATCTTTGAGTTATCCAATGAGGCAGTTTCAAATTACAAGATTGAAAAAGATATAGCCACATATTTAAAGAAAGAGTTGGATCAATTATATGGAGCCACATGGCATGTAATAGTTGGAAAGAGTTTTGGGTCCTACGTGACGCATGAACAAGGGTTCTTCACATATTTCTACATAGGCCAGTTAGCATTTTTAATTTTCAAGAGTGGATGAGTTTACGTCCAATAGGGTGGAGATATGTGAATCAAGACTGTTTTTCTACGACTGAGTGCTTCTATAGTACCCGGATATGTACCTACTCTTCATATATAATATTAATAAAGTATATTCATTGGAAATCTAGCTCTCTACAATCGGCAATATCGCACGACACAGACGTTCCACCAACACTACAGCACCGGCAGCCCATCTAGTTCTGTAATTTTTCAGCTTGGCCACTCAATAAAGTGAAAGCTGGCTTGTCTAACTTATCTCTACCCTTTAAAAAGTCTAATTCCATGACAAATAAGTATTCAACGATATCACCACCAGCTTGTTTGACCAATTCACCGGCACTCGATGCACTACCACCAGTAGCCAAAATGTCATCGACAATCAAAACCTTGGCACCCTTTTCGATCACGTCCTTTTGGATTTGGAATTTATCACTACCGTATTCCTTCTTGAATTCAGCTGTGAACACTGGACCTGGTAATTTACCTGGCTTTCTGACTGGAACAAATCCAGCACCCAAAGCTAATGCTAATGTAGGTCCGAAAAGGAATCCTCTACTTTCTAAACCGACAACATAATCCACCTTTTGTTCACCAACGTGTAATTGGAATGCTTTGACTAATTTTTGAAATAAGTCTGGTTTGGTGAAAACTGGCAAAAAGTCTTCGAATAAAATCCCTTCACTTGGGAAATTTGGAAATTGCTTCAATGAAGCCTTAATTTCTCTGGCGAGTTCGCTGATTTCAACTTGTGACATTTGTATGCTATTTGTTGTTAGAATAGGTGTTTAATAGAACCGACTGAAAAATCCTTATAGGCATCGGCATCGGGCATCGTGCGCAGTATGATTTTTACATAGATAAGGCAATTTTGACGTGCTAGCAGGCACAATTGGTAATACGGTATATGTAGGCTTAGAGACAAGATGCCGAAGAGCATGCTTTAGTCTTTGACTGTGTTGAATGTGTAAGTTTGATGAACGAAGCTTTATATGTTAATTTTATAATTACGACTGGTTACGGCTGTGATTACCACTAATGAAGATATGTTATCTATATACGAGATATCTTTCATTCCTAAGACTATCGGTATGGCCTAATAACGAACAGTGTAATTTTTCAGTTCATGAGTGATGTGGTGCAGTTGACATCCGTTCTCCTAGACCTAGTTGTAGAGCGGGGGATAATTGTAAACCAAGAGAGCCAAGTAGGTTTGGGTATGAAATCCTTCTTTCGGCTCTAAAACACTTATACAATCTTAGTTTCCAAGATCTATTTGTGCCGTTGTACCCGAGCATCGGTTAACTATCTCAGTCGTGTTGAGTCTTCTCCATTCTGTCTTATTTATTCCTGCGGTTCATACTTTGTGTCTTCCTACTGCCAACTATCTATTTCCCACTACCGCATATTCCTCTACCTTGCTGCATCCTGAGTCTCACCATCCAACTCTACAATCTTAGCTATAACTAACCTTTACAGCACAATCCTTCCCATCCCATTCTCCTCCGTCACATTCTCCCACCATAAATGGGTTCAAATCTACCCCATTTTACTGAATCTACACCATTTTTACAATTTTTTTTTTCTTTCTCTCCATCTCTTATACCTCTCCATCAATCCTAACTATCTCCTTCAATATATACCCCCAAATTTCCCAAATCATACACTATACCACTATAAGGAAACATGCAACAACTTTGGGGTGTTTTGCAGTTTTCGCATTTTACAGGTTAGACAATTCTATGATTGTTGAATTAAATTTTATTAGTACTCAGTTAGAGGAGATAAAGCGTTCATTATCAGCAAATCAATCATTAAAAGAGATTATTATAATGTCTGAAGAGGAAAACAGAATCACTACATCCTCTGATGATGTGATTAAGCATGAAGATCCGGATAATTCGACTAGTGGAGGTGCATATGAAGTCCAGGATAGAGATCAGAATGAAATCGATGAAGAAGAAGAAGAGACGGAAGAAAATAAGAAAAGTGCTCAGGAAGAGTATTCTATAGGTTCTAAGCGTCCTTTAGAAGATGAAGAAGAAGTTGAGACCAAGATTTCGTCCGAAGACCAAGCATTAAGTAATAGCGCCCAAGGTGCGGAACAACAAGATAATGGTGAAGAAGAGGCCAACGACGAAGAAAATGATGATGAAGATGAGGACGAGGACGAGGACGAAGAAGAAGAAGAAGTAAGCTCTAAAAAAAGAAAGAGAAGAAGAGGGGCTAATCAATTTATTGATATTGAGGCCGAAGTGGATGACGAAGAAGAAGATGAGATGGACGAAGACGATGAAGAAGCAGAATTATTGAGAGAGCAGTTTATTGCCGATGATAACCGTGTTGAAACCATGGATGGTAAGGACGGTGCTGGAGAACATCAAGACGATAGACTTCACAGACAATTCGACCGTCGTCGTCAAGAGGCTGAAGACCAGGATGCAGAGGTTTTAGCCGAAACCTTGAAACAGCGTTATCGTAAGACTCATACTGTGTATAGAGGTGACACTACTGCCAGTGGTACCGTATCGCAGAAGTTATTGATGCCCTCCATCAATGATCCCGCCATTTATGCTATTAGATGTACCCCGGGTCGTGAAAAAGACTTGGTTCGTAAATTGTACGAAAAGAAGAGAACTTTGGCAAGGCTGAACCCATTGGAAATCTTGACTGTATTCCAAAGAGATTCTTTTAAGGGTTATATATATATCGAAGCTAAGAAGCCGGAAGCGATTGAGAGAGCTTTATCGGGTATGGTCAACATTTATGCCAAGCAAAGATTATTGGTGCCTGTTCGTGAATATCCAGATTTGCTTAAGCAAGTGAAGTCCTCTGATGTTGAAATTGTTCCAGGTATTTACGTAAGAATTACTCGTGGTAAATATAAGAACGATCTTGCTATCGTGGATAATTTATCCGAAAATGGTTTGGATGTTCGTTGTAAGTTAGTACCTCGTTTAGACTATGGTAAGAATGACGACTTCGATAAAGATGGTAAAAGAATCAGACTGAAAACTAAGCCTATCCCTCGTCTTTTTAGTGAACAAGAAGCTAGAATGTATGATGGTGAGTATTTGCAGAGTGGTAGAGGTCCCCGTGCATTCATTTATCGTGGTGAAGAGTATAACGAAGGTTTCCTCTTCAAGGACTTTAAATTACAATTTATTCAAACAAAAGACGTTCATCCAAAGTTGGAAGAGTTGGATCGTTTCCAAACGGGTGATCCAGAAGAAGATGGTTTAGACCTTGCTGCTATTGCTGCATCCTTGAAAAACAAGAACAATTCAGAAGGCGCAGGACGTTCCAGTGCTTTTCAACCTGGCGATAAGGTTGAAATTCGTCGTGGTGAACAAGCAAAGACAATTGGTAAAGTGTTAAGTACTGCCTTGAATGAAATTACCATTTTGGTAACCGATAGTGGTGATCCAAAGTTCGTCAACCAAAGATTAACTGTTCCTGCCAACGATTTAAGAAAACTTTTCAGTGCTGGTGACCATGTCAGAGTTATCGAAGGTAAACATTCCGATGAAACTGGTTTGGTTATTAAAATTGACAACGATTCTGTGATTCTTTTAAGTGACCAAACGAAACAAGATGTAAGAGTTTTCGCTAACTACTTAATTAAAGCCACTGATGCTTCTCTGAATACTGATGTTACAGGTGGAAAATACGAGTTGAAAGACTTAGTTCAACTTAACGTCTCAACTGTTGGGGTTATTGTAAAGGCTGAAAAGAGCTCTTTTGAAGTTCTTACATCAGAGGGAAGATTGATGTCTGTTAATCCAGCTGGTATTGCATCAAAGTTGGAATTAAGTCGTCGTGAACAAATTGCAACAGATAGAAACGGATCTACCGTTAAAATTGGAGACACTGTTAAAGAAGTTTTAGGTGATAAGAAGAGAGAAGGGGCAATTTTACATATTTACAAGAATTCGTTATTCATAAAGCTGAATGAAATTTTGGAAAACTTAGGTATATTCGTAACTAACTGTATGAACGTTAGTACTATTACTACAAAAGACTCAATTGTGTCTAAGAGTTTGGGTCCTGATTTAAATCGTATGAATCCAAACTTAAAATTACCGAATCCAATCGCTAATGCCGGTTTGAAAACTCGTGTCGGTGGTCGTGATAAATTGATATATAAGGATGTTCTTGTCAATAGTGGAAACTATAAAGGTTTAATGGGTAAAGTTACGGAAGCTGATGAAGTTTACGCAAGAATAGAATTACACACCAAATCAAAGAAGATCAAGGTAAACAAAAACCTGTTGAGTGTCTTGGTTCGTGGTGAGGCAGTCCCATACTTAAGATTTATTGGTGCTTCATCTGGCCCTAATAATTCAAATCCTTCAGGTAATTTTGGTGGTGCGTCATTCAACCAACCTGCAAAGGCTCCAGCATTTTCATCAGGCGGTAAGTCGTCTTGGGGTAGTGGTGGTTTAACTCCTGCAGTTGGTGGTGGTGCATCTGCTTGGGGTAATGGTGCTCAGTCGTCTTGGGGAGGAGGCAAAACACCAGCTTATAACTCAGGGAATGCTTCTACATGGGGCGGTAACGCCGGGGGCGCTTCAGCATGGGGTAATAATGGTAATGCCTCGACATGGGGTAGCAATTCAAAGAATGGAGGTTCTTCTACATGGGGAGGAAATTCTACCTGGGGTAATTCTAATAAAGGCGGAAAAAGTTCTTGGGGCAATGGCTCTGCCTGGGGTGGAAAATAATTAACCCCTTACCTTTAAACTTGTATATTTTAGTGCAAACTTTTTATCTTAAATGTATAATTTCGTATTTTAAAGTTTTACTATGACTATCAATGCGTAACCTTATGGGTTTCATTTATTAAGCTATTTATTCTCGCAACCAGGGCAGTTATGCAAACTCTCATGAACAAAAACATCACAATCTATACAGAAATCATTTTTGCATTGTCCACAACGGTATCTAGAACTTGTAATAGAATCCATTTTAGTTTTACCATCTTCATTTGCATCCGTATTTTTAATTCCGCTAGGGAATTTAAGTAGACATCCGTAACAATACGCACTACTGTATGACTTGCTTACTGGAACTTCTTTGTAGTCTCCTAAAGGTACTAAGTGATGGTACGATCTTGCCAAATGTGTAGAGAGAATTAGCATGAGCCCACATATTGGACAAATCGTAGGCAAATGGCATACCTTATTATTACATTGAGGGCATTCATAACCAATGACGCTTCTAGTTCCAAGACTTGCTGTTGGATCACTATGTTTTGCTTCATGAGAATCTTGTGTTGGATGACATGCACATAATTGTGGAAAGTCAATCGATAAGTTCGATGTGGAAGATGTAATAACAGGTTGAATTTTCAGTGGAAATCCCATTTTAATTAACGGTACTTCCTTCGAATTATTTTTGTTTATAACGGTATTTGCAGTAACAGGAAGAGGAATCACACAATCCATTAAAAGCTCTCTGAAATGAATTTCATTCATAATCACACCATAATTATTACCATTTGCAGACCAAAAAGTATTCGGTTTATTTGGGTTATTAGTTTTATTAACCAATTCTTGGCATATAGCTACTTGAGCGGATAGCCCAATAACTTTGACTTTGATTTCATCGTTTACTAAACTATTAATTGTTTTATGGATATCACCCGGATCACTCGTAAATAATGCTCCAAATATTATTAAAATTTCCTTAGAATTTTTAGTATCGTTTAAATTTGTTCCAAAATTGTACATCAATAAAGATCTTGCCATCTCCAATGCATTTTGTAAGGATGGGTCACCTTTTGGCTCATATTTATTATGCTGTCGACTTTTCAATTGTCTTATCTTATCCAAGTGGTATTGTGGCAGTCCATTTACCTCACTAACTAGATTTGCTACCCCGTTACGCATCATAATTATACCTAATTGAGATATAGGATTCTGATCGAAGTACTCTACAATAAATTCCTGTAATAAAGATAACATCATCGAAAACCTCGTAGGTCTTAAATCCTTCTCCAGCATAATCAGTGATCCATCAATTATCACAACCAATGTCCTAATAATACCTCTTTGAAATGGGGTAGTTGGATTTCTCATGATTTTTTTCTTCCTATTTTCAATCATAGTTTGAATAATAGTCTCGAGTGAACGACCGTCTTCATCATCCTTAACTATATCCCATGGTCTTTGGTATTCATCTTCCCATGCATATCCACCATTTGCACTTTTCAAATCACCTACTGCACCACTTCGAGGTTGGTTGGTCATACCACTCGATCTGGTCCGCTTTGAGACACCATCTACCAGAACCAGCGATTCTTTTTGACTTGCCTCATTTGATGAAAGTACACTCGGTGTATCAGCAGCTGTATGTTGAGGAGCGATGTATTCCTCGTCTGACTCATCCATAATGAATGAAGAAGAAGTTTCTAAAGATTATATTTTTAAAGCTGCCCGACATTCATTTTTTAGTATCAACAAATGTCGCAATATGAAGCATTGATGTAAACCGCTAGTACTATTACATGAGTGTTCATTATAATCCTTCTATTCAATGAACTATACAAATAGATATATTGTGTAGTTTTACCTTTATTTTTAAGAAAGAAATACTGTATGCTAACAAACTATATATGAAATCATAGGCTATTAGTTGATGCAAAATCAATGAGTGAATGGATTGGATGTTGGATGTATCGGTTATTCGAAACTATGCAATTATTAGCCTAGAGTTTTCTAATGAGTTTCTTATTTTGTTTTATGTCAACGTTATGTACTAATTGTTTTATCTCAACTGTTCAATTTCCTTTTCTTGCATTCTAGGTCGGTAGTGGGACCGTCGACTTGATCAACTTGGTTAACCGGTTCAGTCTGGCCAATTTGGTCAATTTGAGTTATTATCTTATTGAATTCTACTTTTCCTTCGTCATTAATATCGTAGAACAATCCGTAAAAATTTTGCAAGTCATCTTCAAGTTCATCCCGAAAGTCCTTCTTTTGGTACATTTCTTTCAACTCAGTGATTTCAAGAAGGTCTTCTATGGTAAGAACATCTTTTAGTTTATACCCACGGTTTATGAGAGGTGTTATTTCACGGTCCCTGTTATTATATAATGCAGAATACCTTTCCTCTCCAAAGAATTCAACGAACTCTTCTGGTGATAAATATCCTTTGAAGTCTAGATTAGGAGGATATTCCTTGTTCTCAAGCTCTTTATTCTTTTTAATTTTGGGATTCGGTGCCGAATCATTCTCTTGAATGTAAAAGTTTCTTAATAATTGGACAGCCTCTGTTCTCAAGACTCCTCCATAACTTTGATACGGCCTATTGATTTTATCTTGATGAATATTCAAAATCGTCCCATTGCCTCCAAATCTATCGTTTCCACACCCATAAACCACATAACCGATACCTATCTGTTTCAATGCCGATGCACACATTATGCAAGGTTCTACTGTCACATACAATATCACATCTCCAAACCATGCCTGAATCTTTGAAAGATTAGACCTATCTTGCTCAGGAATTTTACTCATCACCTTATCGATAGCTATGAATTCAGCATGTCTTGTACCATTGAGCGAACGGTTCGTATCATTATATCCTATACTCAAGATTTCATTTGTACGTCTGGAAACTAAAATACATGCAACTGGCGTTTCATTATTTATCATTGCCCGGTATCCAATGAATAAAGCAATAGCCATATTTCTGAATACCGGTATCATGTCATTCATGCTGTTTCTTGTTCTATTTTTATGTTAAATAGTAATTCTCTTGACAGAAATATTTCAGCTCATCTGAGATCGAGCATAAATCGATATTATTCATTCCTGTTTTTTTATTAAACTTGGAATGTCTGACCTCCATAAACAATTCCTAAAGAAGATAAAAGAACAAGAAAGGGCTTTTGGATTATCTCTGCTTTCTGAAGAACCCGATGAGTTAGAATCAGATACCAGTTATTTCAGTCCAACACCTCAACCTTCAAACGAACCAAAAGCCGGTATAGACCAAGAGCGCAACGGAAATATACGGAGAATATATAACGATACTAAAAGAGATGTGTTTCCAATAGCTGATATCTATACGGATTCAAGATCAGGTGTCCGATTCCAAACATACTTCAAACCACCATCATCCTCGAGTGCACCTATATTCATATGTCACCATGGAGCAGGTTCCTCCTCAATGACATTTTGCAGATTGGCACAATCATTAGCCAACGAATTTGGAAAACAAAATGAATATCCAGGATTATTCACGTACGATATACGGGGTCATGGTGATTCATCTACATCAATGCCGCCTGATTATTCGCTATCCTCTGTAACAAACGACTTTAAATTTATAGTAGACGAATTCCATGCCAGAAATGCACCTAAGTCTTCCATTTACTTATTGGGCCATTCATTAGGTGGATCAGTTTTGACAAACTACCTTGCGGCTAATCCAGATAATGCCTACAAATTGAAGGGTCTAATCGTGCTTGATATCGTGGAAGAAACTGCCATTAAGGCGTTGAGCGCAATGCCCCAATTCATACGAAAGAGACCAACTAGTTTTAATTCCTATCAAGAAGCAATCGACTGGCATATTAAGGACTCTCATTTATTACATAACGATGAGTCTGCGCTCATTAGTGTTCCAGATTTACTACGTGAAAGTCCTAATGGTTTAATTTGGAAAACCAATCTACAAGAAACTGAACCATTCTGGGTAACTTGGTTCGCTGGTCTTTCTGACAATTTCATAAATTGTGGTAAAACCCAACATGTAGCCAAATTGCTAGTATTATCAGGGCATGAGACTTTGGATACAAATTTAATAATTGGCCAAATGCAAGGTAAATACCAATTGATTGTGTTCAATAATACCCAAAACACTGGACATTTTATTCAAGAAGACATTCCAAAGCAAATTAGTATCAGTCTTATCGATTTTGTGAGGAGGAACGATTCTCCTGATGAATATATGAAGAAAGAATTCGGTTTCGTACCTAAGTGGGGTGGCAAGATTCACGACTAGTTATAGAAATTGTTTATTTTAAGAATTCTTTCTTTCCAATAATGTATATATGTGAGTCAAATTTATATCTAAGTATACTATTAAGTGAATATAAATTTACGATTGAAAATATTTTTTTGATACTATCATTTACATTATTGAACGAATTTATTAAAATTTACTAAAATCTATTAAAAATCCCAAAAAAAAATTTCTAGAATCAAAACTTGCAAAATAAGATACCTTAGTAGCATGAAACATAATGGGATGATTATATACTCTTAAGAACTGCTAATAGTATGTTAATTGAATAAAAATCGTTATTCAGTAGATTTTGCATCCATCAGTTGAGGTTTTTCTACGTCGCGCATAGTCAGTCAATTTTTATTGCAACTAAATACATACTTAGATATTAATCAACACTTAAGTTGGCTTTCTTAATTTCCTCAGACCTTTGGTTGATAATATTGACTGCTTCATCAATTTTCTTACTCGACCATGGAAATCTAGGATTAATTAAAAATGGTCTTAAATCGAATCTATTATCATCAGGAGAATATTGCTCCGCATGATAGGAAGGAGTCATCGTAGTCATTTTATGTCTGTTAATGGCATAGAAAAACCAAAATTTCTTAACCTTTTCTGCGACCTGTTCAGCAGTCAAATTAAGCGGAGGCTGAGACCACTCATGATACAACTTAATAAACATGGCCATAGGACCACATTTATCGACCTTACGCAATCTACCAAATCTGGACAATTCATCATAAGTCATTCCCATGTCAACCTCATCACTTTGTACATAGTTATGGGTTATTGGTTCTAATTCTGCTGTTGGGGTTGCAGTTAAGAAGTCATGTAATATAGGCAATTCGAAATTCTTATCAGCCCAATCTATAAATTTCTTCAAATCTGTCTTAGAGATTCCACCAATTGGGTTTATATCTGCACTGGAGCAATCATATTTAGTCAAGTAGCCTCTTATACACTCGTCAACATTGGCACTTCCTAAAACCAACAAACCACCTGGAATGTTTCTAGTCCATGGCAATAATTGGGCAAAAAGATAACTCAAGACCATACGTAACCTAGCTTGAATATTTTGTAAAGCTAAATTCTCCGTCTGTGAACCTCCAAATATCTTAAATATAGGCTTTTTACCAGTTGCGACTTCAAAAACGGACACAACAGCGCTCACTAAAGAGTCCATGTTCATATCTATATGATGAGAACCAAGTTTTTCGGAGAGTTCCTTGGCTCTCGATCTAGTTTCTTTCGAAGAATTTTCAGTACCCATGAAACTGGTATAAAATAACTTACTAGCAACCTCTTGCGGTGTTTCAGGGACAAATTCTGGATCGTGAGTTAAAGACTGAATATCAGAAATAACCTGCTTGTCGCCGTTATGACAAGCACTAACCACTAATCTACACATCAGATGAACAATAACCGCAGTAGCACAAGAATCAATACCTCCACTCAAAGGCAAGAAATATCCGGCACATTTGGATCTTCTCAAGTAATCCCACAACCAGCAAGCAGGTCCTAATGCAATTTCTTCTTCCGGTAAGTGGTATCTGATATCGATGTAAGGAGAAGGCTTTACATTTGGATTGAAAACATTACTATTTGGGGATAATTCGATGTCAGTAGGAACATGATGGTAAGCAGTTGATTCCGTCAGAGAAACAGATTGGTATGCAGCCAGCTTTTGATTACGGTAAGATCTAACATCATCTAGATCGATCGTGGCAGAAACAACCTCAACGTCACTAAGGGAAAACTGGGATGCTTGAGCTACTACCTTACCATTGACAATGATACAAGCACAACCATCGTAGTATAATCTATCACCATCACAGCCCTTTTGGTTAGCATACAAGTAAACACCACCACATTTTTTAGTAGCCCCTGTGATCAATTGCAATCTAGTATCCAACTTTCTCAATTCATGATGTGATCCTGATGAGTTGGTGAAGATTTCAACCCCATCTAACGCCATAGCAATATGAGGAGATTGGGGAGTGAACAACTCTTCACAAGTTTCAGCTCCTAAAGTGGTTTCCAACGTTTGTATAACACAATCCCCGAAAATCACGTTAGCTTGTCCCGTAACACTAGCAATGCTTTTAGGTAATTGGAATGATTCATGGTATCTAGGCCTATTCCAAGGAGTAAAATATCTCATTTCTCTATAATTACCGTCGTTCGCCAAGTAAAGCTTTGGTCTAATTAATAATATCTTCCCATTGTATGAGAGTAAACGACAATTATACTTGATCGATTTGTGTATAATTGGCATACCAATATCAAGCAAAATATCCTGAGTGTTTGGGTTGGTCAATATTTGACCATACATTTCCCATGAATGATCATATAAATCATTTTCTAAGAAATGGTCTAAACATCCATATCCACAAATTTCCAATTCAGGTCCAACTCTGAGTTTAGCACCTAATTTTTTGGCTTCAATGACACTGGCAATAATACGATCTCTATTACCTTCAAAGTCTAATGCCCACTGGTTAAGGTTACACGTAGCCAATGTTATATAATGTCCCATAATCACAATATATGAAAAAAAGATATCTAAACAATCATAAGTTTTGATGAAGAAAAGCTTCGAGCTTATCAGCGACCGGTGAAAAAAAAATCTGAATTTGGTAATAGTAATATTAAAACACTTTTATTTCCATAAATACACCATATACGCTATATAAAACTTTATTGAACGACCACAGGTTCGATACCACTTGCAATATTGCATTGGTGCATTAACCTCTTTTCGTCATTTCCATTTTTAACTCCTTTGAGTTCACCGGTAACACTATGTAAAACACCTCTGTTATAGAATAGAACCAAATCACCTTCGCTCCAGGCATGGGCTAAGACTCTGGAAGGAGAAATTGCAGGTCTTATCATAGAATGAACTTTTTTACGAGCATCTTCTAATCCTAAAGTCTTAATAGATCCATCTGGACATTTGGTGTGTAACTTGTATAAGCAACAACCATGAACCTGCAAATGGTGCTTGTGAGTCACTGGGTTTGTCCAGACCATTGGCAAACGTTTAATCTTTTCAGGTTCCCATTCTGGCATTTTGTCGAAGGCCAACTCCTTGCCTTCAGAAACCATGGTTATACCATCAGAGGTGGCTCCAGCGGGAGAAATAAATATATAAGGATGAGGAGGGTATTCGACAGTTGTATTCAAGGCAAATTGCTTTTCCTCCTCAGATAACCTATCAAACGCTTGTTGGCCGCTGAAGAAACAAGTTGCACCCAGTGCTAACTTTAATTCTTCATCAGAGTCTTCGTATGAGATAGTTTGCATTTCTGTCGCAGGAGGAACCTTGATACCCAATAACGTTGTCACGACTGGAGGCAACAAATCGTACAACGCCGAATCAATGTGCCATCTGTAGAAACGTGTTTTGTGTTGGTTCTTGATCTCATCTTCACTCAATGGCGTGTGGTGAAATGTGGTATGGGAAGGATGAGTTAACGATATTGCTTCACCATTTTCGTTTCCAGGTTCATTTGCCTCAAAAGTACCTTGTCCCAAAATTTGAACCTGTGGTTGTGATTTAACTGTAGTACCATCCTTTCTCAATACTGATTGTTCATGTCTGAACTCCTTACCATGTCCATATCCTGCAAATCCTTCTTGCTTTGGTTCCGGAATTGTGGGGTCAAACATCTTGGTAAGTTCATATTGTGATTTTGGACTCAATTTAGCCTGATCCTTAACAACTACTACCAAGTGTGTATGAACAGCATTAAACAATGTCTTAAAATCTTCTTCATTTAATTTCAGAGGATCATTATCACAGTAGCCTGGGAGACTGACCAAACACCCAAAAGGCTGGTCTTCGAGTGGTGTAATTTCCAATTTACTTGCTTGAGTCATTTAATATATGTTCGTGTGTAATTTTTCGACAATATTTGAGTTGTTTAAACTACAATATTAGAACTATAGCATCGAAAATAATTAATATCGGTAGTAGGATATGTTCCATATTTATATACTATCTTATCTCTCGTGATAAAAGGCTCCGCGGAGTATCCGGGGAACTCCGACCAATGATAACCATAGTACGCTTAGTTGAAGATAGAAGTACCTGTAAGACAAGATGCGATAGAGTGGTAACTGGTTAGATATATCTTTCTTCTAGATAAATTAAACTCTCTCTGGTGGATATGTCCGGAATGGTTGCAATGTGGGCATGGTTCTAATGATAAGATTGAAATGAGCAATACATGAAATTCAACTATCAGATACCAGGTTACATTTAAATATATATTAGGTTCTGATTGGTGTAGGATGTAAAGAGTGTCAATTATGGGAAGTGGTAAATAGTGAAAACTTAAATCAGTACACTTATAGAAGATGAAAGGTAATGCTCAGTGGGGAGGGACTGTGCATTTCAGATAGCTGCAACAGTAAAATATTATCATTATCGTCCAATATGGGGTATGTACAGGCTTGGGATACCTGAGAGGATAGAGGGAAGAGGTTCTTTGTCCAAATTTTATGGTTTGAAGAGAATCTGCCTGCGTGATGTTTTGTAGGAGATGTTACTACTGATCCGATCAAAGGTACACAATAATCGACCCCAGTAAATGACTGCCAGAGAATTCATCCAGAATTATTTTAATGTTCATATACTATATACATATGTCATAGTTATATAATTTTCCACTCTAATTCAGTCATAACCCTCTCGCCGACTCAGCAAATTCCTTTAATTAAGATAAAAGTCTTTTTGCAAGTACATCCAGAGTAAACTAGTGGAGCTGACAATCAATGGGCCAGCCAATCCCTTGCCCAATTTACAGTTACCGAAGTACAACCATTCACTAATAAAATGTCCACCTGCTACAACAAAACTCCACATACATAATTCGTAAATCTGTTTATTACCGACCAAGTAATATGCACCGTAAAACCTGATAATTGATGTAATGAAGGTCCAAGTACCGAATGTTCTGGCACTCAACTTGGTAACTTCGGTAGGTGGTGCTGATTCATAGACTCTTCTGGTTAAGGTCAAATCAGGAGATTGATATGTCTGCAAGGAGTTAAAAATTGACACAACGGATATGAACAATAACCAATGGGGCAAGTATCCTCCTTGGGATGTAGTTGTTGGTAAGAATGATTGGAAATATGGGATCATTTTGATGATTATTACAGGATTTTCAAAATAACTTCAAGTTTATGGACGAATTTTTCATATACTCGCGAAATCAATGTTGCATTATCCGTTACTAAATAAAAATTACATAAATTGAACACATAACGTGAATAGAAAGATGAAGAAAGAAAAAGCAATACTAAGCATCAATGGGTCATCATAACGATAAGAATGTTATCGGTTCAAGGATAACAGTAACTAATTACTGGGAGCCTTGGTTCGCAGTAGGATCTTGACTCTTTAATATATCAACAGCCGGACCTAATAATCTGGAGAAGCCTGATTTACCCAAAGTAGCTACAATAACAGTGTCTAATGCTTCTACAGTAGCTTGTCTTGGCAAATCATTCAATAAGGCAACCTCACCGAAATAGTCACCCTTTGATAACTTGGTGAGAACACCTTTGTCCTCCTTGGAAACTTGACAGTTACCACTTTCAATGAAATAAAAGTTTTCACCCTTTTCCCCTTCTTTGACGATTTTGTCTCCTTTATGGTAGATTTGCGTACTTAAGGCATCGGCCAATTTCAGTCTTTCCTGGCTAGATAAGCTAGACAACACCTTGACATCCTTTAAGAAGTCTTCATACATCAACCTTCTATTAAAGGTACGTTCCAACAAAATACGACGGAAAGTTTGTCTATCCAAAGCCCAACAGGTGACACCCAGGTCGCAGGCAGCCACTGCGGTGGCTGCTCTTGGCGAGTTGTACATCAATGCTAATTCACCGAAAGAAGACCCTTCACTACTGGAATTGACTTGGTTTCCATTGACGTAGAAATCAACGGTACCCTTCTCGATTATATAGAAAAAATCTCCCTCATCACCTTGCTTTATAATTTCATCGCCCTTCTTGAACTCTTTCTTTCCCAAGGCTTCAATAACTGTTTTCTTTGAGCTGGAATCTAATTGACGGAAAAGGAAATTAGAACCCAAAGTCTTGGTTAATTCGGCTTTTTGAGCTTGACTCAAGTCGTTGATTGGAGGCTTCCACGAATCAGACTTGAACTTGTCGGGGTTCATGGCTTCCGCCGAGACCGATGTTCTTCTATTGGCATTGAATGCAACTGGTATTTTGGACTTGGCAACTGATGGAACGGAATCTGGTCCCTGGGAAGTCGAGTGCGATGGGTCGTTAGGATCCAACTCCTGCAAAGGCTTCAGCGACGTAGACTTGCCCACGCCAAATCCTCCTTTGAACAAATCGGGCTTGATTTCCTGCTTCGATGCCCCTTGTCCTTCTTTTGTGTCGTCGTCATGGTGGTGATGATGGTGGTCAATCAGCGTTGGATCGTTGTCCCCAAACGGAGACTTAAAGCTCGGTTGTCTCTTGTTGGCAGTCATTATGGCGCCCCCATCCGAGTTGAACACATTATCAATCAGCGGAAACAAGTTAATTCCCGCAGCCTTCGCCTTATTCTGCTGTTGCCACAACTGAGATCTCTGGAGCTCCAACTTCGAGTTGAAGTAGTTAGCGCAGAACTGCAACACATCAATTGGATTCTTAGCAATAATCTCCTTCTGCAATTGGTTCAATTCTTCTGTAGCAAACTGGTTGTCCGTCATCATGCAACCTATTCCTTTCGTTTTTTTGAATATTTAACCTTTCAATCGCTATTTTTATAAGTGGCAATCCAAGTTACTCCGTACGCAATATTCTATGTTATACTATATTTTACTATGGTATAATCCTATTTCAATTTGGTAATTTTCTCAATCAATATCGTATTGTACTAGTAAGTATCTTTTTATAACCTATTGTATATGACAAAGATCAAGTTCTATCAATAGTTGTTTTAAGGGGACTTCTGCAAAACGACCAGATTGATCGATGAATTGACGGAGGCCTAAACTGCAAAATCTCAAAATACGCCCGGGCTCATGTCTTAAGAAAAAATACAGGTTGGAGTTTTAATTACCCGGACGGACAATATTTAATGCAACGTTACATTTTATTTAAAATGTAGGAACATAATCTGATCACCTTTGTTCACCTGCTGCAGATCCACAGATACGGTAAGACAGTACCAGTGGGATTATTATTTATTCTCTACACAATTGGATTCTCAATTGCTATTACCGCTACATTGTTAATTGCATAGTGTATGTATCGTTAGCTAGTACATGTAGTTTGTATGGGGGAAGTATAATGGTGTTGGATAGATTAATGAGTTGGATAGATTAATGAGTTGGATAGATTAATGAGTTGGATAGTTTAATGAGTTGGATAGTTTAATGAGTTGGATAGTTTAATGAGTTGGATAGTTTAATGAGTTGGATAGTTTAATGAGTTTGCCTAGATCTGTATATGTTAGCCCATTCTGTAATACGTATGCTTGATAATTAGTGAATTATGTCTTTAATATCACAATTCGGTAATTACTGTATAGCTCATCTACGGCATTTGAAAATCGCACCTCTATTCGTTACGTTTCATGCAAAATCCAAATCTGGGGTCGATATGATTAAGGTCCCAATAATAAATATTCTAAGAATAGCTTCTATGTTGATGTTGCCACATTTGTGATATTATTACGGTTACGGATATTGATGACAATTGGAACAATAATATCGATAATACGGTGATCGTGAATATTCGCGAATGAGGGGGTTTAGGGATTTGAGACAAAATGAACCGTATATACGATAGTGTTGAGCGAGTAGTTAAGATGCGTTCGAAGCATGGTTGAATTATTTGGATGCAAGCTGAGAGTGACAGTTGCGAATTAAAAATAGCCTCGACGATTGTCCCATCTCTGAGTGAAATACCTTCATATTCGGGCCTTAGAACATTAGGATACAGTAAATATCCTAACAAATTAGAATCCTTAAATATTTGAAAATGCTAGAATAATTCTCTATATAAATGGAGGGATAATGGACCAGGACTGAAGCTGTACAAATATACAGCTCTAAGAAGGTTATTGCGACTAGTTATCAGATATATGGCCCAAACGTGGTACCGTTATCTCTGTAGGGCGAATGGTATGTTATATAGTCAAGTGTATTGTATTCTATACCGGCCTAACCAGTAGATACACGAATATATCTATTGTTGAATTTGTATCCGATCAAACTCAAAAATTACAATCATGAGGGGCTTTTGTTCGTTTTTTCGCTTATGTCTATTACGAGGCTTTGACCAGGGGTCAATATCCTCTACATAGTAATGGTTGAAAATCGTACAGCAGACTGACACTGGAGATATTGACTCCTAGCTTAACCACTTAGTCTAGGAAACCCATAAAGCATGTAAAAGGACCAAAATCGTATTTAATGACCATCAAGTATATATTTAGATTAGTTAGAAGTCTAAAAATACCTCGCTTGCATTAATATCAACATTGGAATATTATTTTCATGGAAATACAGTTGAGTTCACGAACCCTTTCTATTTATGTCCAATGATAATCGAGATACTGTACTCGTATATAAAATAATTCTAATAATTTTTTAACAAAATAATTTTGCAACAAAGCCGACTTGATTACTGTTCAACTTATTGATTAATCACCTTAGGTTATTGCAAAAAGTTATATATCCCAGGTGTTATCGTAAAGTAGTAGATCTGGAACAACAATTCAAGAGGGGTTTACGCTGTAAGTGAATCAGTTGAAAGGAATATTTTTAATGAAGATGAGATTTTACGAAGTAGTAATCATTCGGACCCAGTAGGGTTCTTTTGCGATTATACCAGAGACACATTCTAGACCACCTTGGATTGAGGTTTCGTGATATGAGATTTGGGATATTTTATAGGAATTCGCAGTACGGGTTCTTATTATAGATTTAATGGATGTTAACTATGAGAGTAGAAGAAATGCCCAGAAATATTGATTTCATTAATCATAATAGACGAACGATAGACGGAACGTAACTGAAGAGGAGGTTTTAGTTGATGACCATATAGTGGTATCGATGGAAGTAGAACATATTCTGAAAAAGTATTTATATGGGACGCTTTTTCAAGAAGTTAAAATGAATTCAGACATCAATTACAAAATATCAAAATAACAATATTAAGAATGAAATTCGAAAACGTGGCTGTTTTGTTCAGCATAGCATCAGCAGTTGTTGCCCATGATGAGGCAATCAAATTCAAGAGAAGTCCTACTGACAAAGGTAACAAGGATTTGTTGACTCCGACTTATCGTAGGGATATCAGGGCAGACAAGCTTGGATGGAGAGGTATTAGGTGGAATAAGCTTTCCGTGAGAGAAGAAGATCCACAAGAAGACCCACCTGAAGACCCACCTGAAGATCCACCAGAAGAGCCACCTGAAGATCCACCAGAAGAGCCACCAGAAGATCCACCAGAAGAGCCACCAGAAGATCCACCTGAAGACC